TAAGTGTTGGTTTTTTCCAGCCAACCACTCTTCAACCATGCTACACTTATTTAGACCATTTCAATCCAACCCTTAATGTATAGTGCTCAGTACCGCTGCCCAGAGGTAGCCGCTGCATAGTGACAAATTGGGATATTCCCCCCCCCCCCCTTTCCCAACCTTTTTACTTTTTGTCTTTACTTGTCAAAAGTAGCTTTTTTTTCTTTGGGCTTGCTAACAAAAATCATATAATATTAAAAAATTTTATTTATTTTTTACACATTTAAATATATTTATTTATACATATTTTTTTAGCACTAGTAATAATTTTTTTTTAGCATTTTCTTTTTCTTTTTTAGGCCATTTCTTTTTCTTTTCTTTTTTTTGATTGGCATCTATGTGTGTAGTTGGTAAAAAAATTAATAATTTAGTAAGGTTAAGCCTTTTTAATTTTTTTTTTTTAATGCTGATCACTTGTTCAGACTATTAAAAATAAAAATATAGTAAAACAAGAATAAATAAAGGGAAACATTTTTTTCTTAAAAAAGTGAGTTCTTCATCACTCCAAAAAGTAGAAAAATTGGAAAGAAAAGAAATTAACATAAAGCTCACGTTTTATAATAATAAAGTTGAATCAACGTGGCTACCTCAATTAGTTACACATGCACAGTTTTAACTAAGAATTCATAAGGTCAATTATTGTTAAATGCGTGATTAATTGTGTCCACTAAAAAAAGGAGTAATGCTATATACACAAATTAGTATACTAATTCGTGTATTAAATGATAATCTGACATAATTTAAGATTTTTTTATATTTGTAGTTTATATAATGAACGGGGTTAATAATAAGATCATAATTAGTATTGATATACTAGTAGTATACTAATTGATGCATGTAACACCCTTCTCAAAAAAGTAGATAGAAATCATAGACAAAAATAGTTCATTAAAAAATGAAATGTTTCAAATCAACTGTAGACTCCTCAATCACTTCAAAGGCAAAGAATGGACTATTTTCCTTAATTTTGCTCCAATTTCATAAAGAGCGTGATTAATTAGACTAAATTAATCAATTGTGAAAAATTCAAAGATAAATGGATGAAATTAAAACTATATGGATCAAGTTAACATGACTACAAAAATCACGAGTGAATATGCCCAAGTTTCTAATTTTTTTATTAAATTTTATTTTACTTTCAAACTATTGCTAAAAATATCTATTGGATGCCTGTACTTTATAATTATGGCCCTGTTTGGTAGAGTTGTGGGAAAGTGCTTGTAGCTTATGCCTTAACAGTTTATAGCTTATAACTATGAACATAAATCGATTTCTGACTTATAAATTAAGCATCTCCTACTCCACTCAAAGAATAAACTGATTTTTGACTTATAAAAAGCTATAAGCTGCATTGTTAAGCTAAACCAAACGCATCAAAATAGCTTAAATTAAGCTGAAAGCTGAAATAAGTAACTTTTAAGTTGCACCAAACAGGTACTATATCAATGTTATACCTAAATTATTTGATTTGGATCAATGTAACACCTACCATCTATAATAAGAAGGAATCTCCAGTTTACTCCCAATCTATTCTCCTGATCAGGGAAATAATTGAAAAGTCTGGTTATAAATAAAGTTATACACACGAATTGTTATACCATTATTTAATTATATATTGCAAAATGACAACAAATAATTTAAAAAGAGAAGAAAAAAAATACCAACACTAAAGGAAATATATGATTTTACGGCATTTATTTAACGGCGTTTTTTTAAACGTCACTATTTCTAACATTTAACGACGTTTTATAAACGTCATATTTTATTTTAATTAAAACGGTACCGTTTAAGTAATCCAAGTCGTTTGAAAAGCGCCTCCAAATGTGTTTCTCTCTCTCTCTCTTCAAACCCTCCAATCTCTCACCAACGTATTTGAATCTGAGAAACCCTAGAGTCTTAAAGAAACTGATCCCTCAAATCTCTCACTCGTTCTCTCTCTCTCTCTCTCTCTCTCCCTCTCTCTCTCTCTCTCTCTCTCTAAACCCTTCAGCTCCTTCAACTCAATTCAACCTTCTTCGCTCGGTGATTCATCATTTGGTCGATCCAATCTCAAAATGATTTTGATTTCGAAGCTCCACAATCACCGCCACCGCCACCCCCATCTGCATCTGCATCGTCTACTAACCATCTGCACGATTTTGATTTCAATCCAATCTCAGTTTCGTCGATTCTTCTCTCTCTCTTTCTCTCTCTCTCGATCTCTGCCTGTCTCTGTCTCCCTCTCTATCGATCTCGTTCTCTCTCGCACAGTCTCGTTCTCTGTGTATACATTATCTGTACTTTTTTTTGGATAATTTTTTTGTCCTAAAAAACTCTCTATACAAGTATATATATGAATTTTTATATGTATCTCTATGTATTAATTGAATAATCATCCTTATTTTGTTTTCAGGCTCTCGAATGATCCAATCGTTGACCGGCAGTGACGGAAAAAATCAACTCCTGTGAGAAAAGAAACCCTAACTTTCTCATTGGAGGTAAGTTCTAATATATTTGTTTACATGTTTGTTCTGTTTTTGATCTTGTTTAGATTTGTATTGAACAACTCTATTTAGATTTGTTTACTAAATACACTGATGAGAATCTACTTGAATTTGGTTTCTCTTACTTTTCTGGAGCTATATTCTTTTGTCTATAATGCTTCTAAATATGAGGATACATTGGTTTATGTCAATTTCTATGTATCAAAATATATTTTGGTTTATTTAGATGATAAACATTAATTGGAGAACTCAGTAGTGATTAGCAGTCTGTCTATTGGTTAATTTGGGTATTGACTTAAATTTGATTTTTTTTTTCACAAATACAACACCATCAAGATGATTTAAAAATAAATAAATAAAAAATCATGACACTGTCACGGAGATAAATAGGACCTTGGCTTCATTATTCAGTGGTTGCTTCTTTGATCAAATTTTCCCTTAATTTTGTTTTCTCTTCGTGGTTCACTTTAGATGTGAAATTTTCTTAGATCATTATAGTCTTATCAAATGCTATTGGTGCTGGCAACTTCACAATAAATGTTGGTCCAGTTTCAAGCATTGTCATTTCAAATAAGTTGAATGGCGTAAACATCTTGAAGGTAATGCAGTCATTTTGTTTTAAGAGGAAGTTTACCTTACTGTTTGTATTTTTTAGGTAATTTGTTGGATGTTGTTGAGAAGGTACAGGTACAGGTACTGTTTTAGGTAATTTTCTCTAGTTCTTCCACACTTTCGTCTATGCTCTGAAGTCTTTCATGTGTAGGGCTGTGAGAGAGAAGTTACAGAGTCTGCAAATGGTGTCTCAGAAAGATAGATAAAAAGAACAGAGAAAAAGAAAATGGTTCATCTGACTAGAACCCTTCATATATTGGATTATCGAGAATATGCATAATCACATGAAACTCTTCGAAGCCAATTCATACAACAAAACAGCCGTCATAGCTTTTTTCTTTTGTACTTGTATTATTATTTTTTATAATGGTAGCAAGTCTATGCTATGAAGCACCCCTTGTGAATACTTCATTTCCAATTATTGAAATTTATGTCATTGTTGAATTATTATGAAGTGTTGCTATCTGTGATCTGTTTCAGAGCCTGTTCATTTTCCTGCTATGGCTTTGGTTGGTAGACTTGCAGTTTATTACCTTGGGACAATGAGAGGAAAAAAACTAATTCATGCTTTATTCTGTGTGTTCAGCCTCTTGCAACATGCATGCACAATCTACAACTTGGGAAAATGGCAGTTGGACTGCAAATTTCAGAACCCTGGCTTCGTGAATATCAGGTTTGTTTTAGATCTTCTAATGAATTTACTATCTCTTCGTCTTTTTTTTTTTCCCCCCCTTTCTTTTTGTTTTTTAATTCACATTCATTTATGATTGTTCTAACAAATTTACTGTGTCTTGGTCCCTTTTTTTTCTTACTTTTTTTAATTCACATTCATTTATGATTTGTTATGTTTAAACGATCTACAGGAAAAGTGTAGAACTATGAATTCAATATGAATGCATGAATCAACATATATGTAAAGGATTGTACCAAAAAAACATATATGTAAAGGAGCTAGCATGTGCCATTTGCACAAACATTATTCACATACTGAGAGGAAAGGAGTAAAGTTGAAGTTATATGCCCTGGGGCTCTAACTCAGAACTCAGAATTGCTATATAAGCAAAACTTGATTGTCTCCAATGTGATATACAGGGGATGCAAGGCAAAACTTGACTGCCATAGAGGAGCCTCAGAAAAACTTCAAATATTACCAGTTTCACTATCTAACAGTTTTCTACTATACGAGTAGCCTTGTTATGCATTTGAAGGCACGTGTTTTATAATCCAAGGTTGTCATGGGCATGTATGTTAACAGTCTTATGTGTGAGCTCCATACCCAATTCTGGTTTTATTTCTATATTTGGTTTTTCCTTCTTTTATGTGAATGGACTTTTCTCGTGGATCTTTCTATCTCATTAAGTCCAGTGCGTAGTTGTTTCATGTTATTTGAACTCTTCAAATTGTGAAATATCGAGTACTTCCTTTCTAGTTTACTTTTGTTGAAGCAAGTGGAGATTTGGTACTAAATTTTCATGGATTTCATTTTGGTAATGATCTAGTGAAAATTACAGGTGGTTTTGTTCATCCATAAAACTAATTACCGATCCTTCTGTTGACTGTTTACTGTTTACTTATTTATTATTGCATTGCAGGTTCTTCCATTGAGAACCCATCCACAAATGCAGATGAGCTCATTCGGTGGGTATATTCTAAGGGGTACTAGGATATGTAGCGATGACCAGCCACAACTGAAGTAATTGCTTCAATTTTTTACCACAAATTTTTTTTTTTAGGGAAGCAATTGCCCACATCTCATAATGTATAATTTCTTTGATAAGAAGTGTACACTAGCTTTTCAATTGCAAATTTAAGAGTTTCATTTGAACAATAAATTGTGCCGCTCCTTATTATTTTTATGTAACAATTAATTCATCCATATTAAACCGTGATAGAGGACATCACTTATGTGTTCCTTGAAAATTCTGAATTCAGGTCATTATCTTCTAGCTAATTCTTTCATAGTTTAACCATGTTCTGCAAGTTAGTTGCTACTCCAGATTATCAAGAGTGTGCTCGATCCTTGTGAGGATGAAAATGATGACATTCAAGATGGTGATGTGAGCTTGGGGGCTGATTTTGTACAAAAGAGTGTTCTGAATTTCATTTCATTTCATGTTTTGGTCAATTTCACGTATATATTATGTGTGTATGCAGTGTAATTCTTAACTAAAATTTTGTATTTGTGGTTGTGTTATTGGGAAACAGATAGCAAAGATCGTGGATGAGGTCCTTGATGAGCAGGGTATGTTTTGAATCCCTGTTTTGCTCTCCTCTAGTGACCTTTTGCATCAATTTGTTGGAATTTGAACAAAAGTTACTATACTTGAGGAGTGAATGCTAAACTGTGGATTGGACATGGGAAAAGTTATAGCAGTACTTATTTGCTTCTGTTGATTATCGTTAAATTTTTTTGATAAATTGTGGTGTCTTACATCTCTATAAATTGTTGAATGTTGCCATTGTATTTACTTTGGCGCGAGTTAGATCAGTTGCTTAAGGATGATGACAGTTCAACTGTTGCAACTCCTTACACTGCTGCTGTGTTGGAATATCGTGTGGTATATCATGACGGCACAGATGCATCAATATTGGACAAGAGCATGTCAAATGGTCATGCTTTTCATGATGCACAACATTCATGCAGGTACCAAAAGAATGTTTTAAATCCTGAATTTTTCTATTGCCAGTTAATTATATGCTTTTGTTTTTGTAACCTAACAAATATTTTATCTTGGAATTAAGGTCTAATGTGGCTGTGAAAAAGGAGCTTCACTACTTCCAGGTTGCAGAAATCCTTAAGGATCGGCCTTCGTGGTATCGCGATTGCCGAGCTGTGGATGTTCTAAATGTGCTGTTCTAAAATAAAATGTAGAGTGCTCGTTCTATAATTAATTTGCCCATTAATTGATTGTTAAATTAAGCATCCCAAGATAACAAATGCTTTCCACTTTGTTCTGGAGAGCAATTGTTATGAAATTTCACATATTAGCAAGTGAAGTAAATTAAGATAATTGTTGTATATAGGTCTATCAACGCAAGTCTTGCCCAATCCTTTTCTACTAGTTCTCTGTATTCATGTTCTCATTTCGAGCTTAACATTTCTTTATCTGATCTTGCTGTGGTTCTTGGTATGGAAAGGTTAAAATCGGAGCTGCAATCACGTGGGTTGAAATGCGGGGGTGCATTGCAAGAGCGTGCTGCCAGGCTCTTCCTTCTCAAAACCACACCTTTGGAGAAGCTTCCAAAAAAGCTGCTTGCTAAGAAGTGAGATATCACATCCCTCTGATAACTTTGTTTTTGTTGTGGGTGAATTGTACCTTGTGATGTCCATTTTGAAGTCTCTTTACTCCTTTTTTGATTGGTCATGTAGTTTATGTAAGCCTTGATGTTCATGTTGGGAACCCAGGGGAAGCAATCCAATTTTCAACATGGGAGTATGTTTTTAGTGTCCAATTTTCTCTTACACAGATTTTATCAACATGGGAGTATGTTTTTAGTGTCCAATTTTCTCTTACACAGATTTTATCAACATGGGAGTATGTTTTTAGTGTCCAATTTTCTCTTACACAGATTTTATCAACATGGGAGTATGTTTTTAGTGTCCAATTTTCTCTTACACAGATTTTATCAACATGGGAGTATGTTTTTAGTGTCCAATTTTCTCTTACACAGATTTTATCAACATGGGAGTATGTTTTTAGTGTCCAATTTTCTCTTACACAGATTTTATCAACATGGGAGTATGTTTTTAGTGTCCAATTTTCTCTTACACAGATTTTATCAACATGGGAGTATGTTTTTAGTGTCCAATTTTCTCTTACACTAATCTGCTGTGTATCTGCTGCTGTTTTTGGCCTATAACTAAGTCTGATATGCTCTGATGGTAAATTTGAGAATGAAAGAGTATTTTGATTCATGCAAATTGACAGTTTGATGTCCAATTGCTAGGTGCAGTTATATGCTCACAATGCAAAGGTAGTGGGGTGAATACTATTGATTATTTTGGCGGACAATTTAAAGCTGGTGAATCATGTTGGCTTTGCGGGTACCCACTGTATAAGTCTTAATTTCTGTCAAATTAGTATCTAATATGCTCATATATCACCAGATCACTAAAGAAAATCATATGTTTATTATCTACGTTTAGATGAAGATTATTGTCAAAACATGGAAGACACTTTATCTTGCCTTCTTGTACTGTGTCAACCATATTCTGCAAACTAAACTACTTGTCTTGCAGGGGGAAAAAGGATATGTTGTGTGGAAACTGCAATGGTGCTGGATTTGTAGGTGGTTTCCTGAGTGGTTTCGATCATTAAGTGTAGTATCATTAAGTGGAAGTGGAAGGCAATCTCAGTTACAGAAAACCTTCTTAGCATTGAGTATGAATGTGTATAAATGTTACATAAAGCCATGTATCATATTGTGTATACATAATCATAAAAAATTTAGGTACTGCAACTTGGTAGACAATTATAATTCTTCCACCTCTACTCCATAATTTAGCTGTTTTCAATTTCTTCATATTAGGCCAGTTAAATAGTTTTGTATAATATCTTTACGCGTTTATGAATCTCGATCTTTTCTTCTTTACCACAGCCTATCAGTTGCTTTTAAGTGGGAATATTTGGATTATAGCTTTAGAAAGTGAAGAAGAAAATCAAGTTAATAGGTCAAATCAAGAGGAGTTTTAAAAATCTAGTTTTTGAGTTCTGTTGTCCCGAAATGTAGCAATTGGTCTTTTGGGGGGGCTTAAAATAAATTTTTTTGCTCTCACTGGTCCTTGGTGTGTTCTTTCTTTCTTGACAGGTGTTATTTGGGAGTAGAGCTTCTCAAGTCTGGCAGTGAAGGAAATGAAACCACCCTCAAAACCCTTTGGCATCACACAGATGCTATTATGTGTTGCTCTTTAAAGGTACGTGGCTTAAAATTTTCAGCTCTGTCTCTCTGTCTCTCTCTCTCTCTGTGACATGGGTCTTGAATTGTCTTCCTATGCTATTATTTTTAATTGTTTATTATTCACAGCTTCAAATTTAAAAGGTAATTGGACTTCCAAAAAGCTGAAAGATTTGTATTTTGCCAGAGTTTAACTAACCAGTTAAGCGAAGGACGAAGGGGTTGGCCTAATGGATGAGGCACTCCCTTAGTAAGTGTAATGTTTGGGTTTAAGTCTTACTGCCACGAGTGCAGCTTTGCTTCCCCTATTCCCCTTGTATTGATTGTCAAAAAAAAACTCAGTTAATACAGAATAGAGGGTGATATGTCACAGTTAAAAATCCCAGTTAGTTTAGACCCCTAAAATACAAAAATTAGATAGCTTTTAATTACGCTGCTTCTACAAGCTCATTATCTTTACAATTAACTGTACATGCAGGCATTGCCAGTTTTCACCTTTACTAACCAGGCTGGTCTTGACATGCTTGAGACAACCTTGGTCGCCCTTCAAGACATTACTTTGGAGAAGATATTTGATGATCATGGAAGAAAAACTCTCTGCTCTGAGTTTCCACAAATTATGCAACAGGTTTGCAATTTTCTCTTGAATTAATAATAACTGAGATCAAGCAGATGATGGCTAACTGAACTAGGATCTGCTATTGAGATAACATTGATTTCAGACTTCAGTAGTATTTGAAAGCAACCAAACAACCAACATCTCTATTTGTTTCTGCATCCATAAAGAATGATTCATTGCAACAAATTGTTGTTGATACTAAAAGGATGAACCATGCTACTTTTCATAGAAACTTAATGAGGCATTCACCACATGTCAAACACAATCACCTATTAACTTTGCCTCTGCCAAGAGAGTGGTAGGTGTAAATTTTAATCCCAGTTCACTTTAGTATGTCCTAAATATTAAAAAAATAATAATAATTGTATGCCATATACATTTAGAGTTTCCCATTTGTTCTGTCTCGAGTAAACTTTGCCCCATTTGTTTTGATGGAAAATATTTTTGTGGAAATTAACATTTTTAATAATAAATTTGAAGATGGGTTGTTTCAGGCAAAGAAGAAAATGGTTGAATTAGTACATAAAATCATCGAAGCGAAAAGGAAGAACAGAGGCAGATCAGAAGTTGCAAAAGATGTAGCTGATGTTTTGCTGAATGATGCAAGTGAAGAGCTAAATGATTATCTAATTTCAGATGTTTTTAATATTATAAGCCATATTAGTGTGCTTTTTATTCCTTTTAAATTTTTTTGGGCAAATTACACTTCTTGACCATTTTGATTTTAATTGATGTATTTAAAGTCTAAATTGTTGCTATTATTAGGTATGCAATGTATTGTTTTTTATTTTTAATTTTGTTTTCAAGCTTAGTTTATTTATTATTTTAATAAACATCAATTATTAGTTTAGAGCCTTTTATGTTTGTCGTTTTGTGGTATTTTTCAAAAACGTGCCACTAAATATCATTTTTTGTGGCATTTTCTAAAAATATGCCACTAGTGTAGTGCCACTAAAGTATGTTTTTGTTGTAGTGATAAGTTGATTTCTGACTTATAAATTAAGCATCTCCTTCTCCACTCAAAGAATAAGCTGATTTTTGACTTATAAAAAGCTATAAGCTGCATTATTAAGCTAAACCAAACGTATCAAAATAGTTTAAATTAAGCTGAAAACTGAGATAAGCAGTTTTTAAGTTGCACCAAACAAGTACTATATCAATGTTATACCTAAATTATTTGATTTGGATCAATGTAACACCTACCATCTATAATAAGAAGGAATCTCCAGTTTATCCCCAATCTATTCCCCTGATCAGGGAAATACTTGAAGAGTATTATAAATAAAGTTATACACACCAATTGTTATACCATTATTTAATTATATATTGCAAAATGACAACAAATAATTTAAAAAGGGAAGAAAAAAAATACCAATGATATGATTAAAAAGATACCAGCAAAATTGATTTTTAAAAAATAACTTAAAGGGTAAAATCATATATACTTGTAATTTATTTTGGGGGGATTGTGTATGTCTATAATGTGTCTAAGATTTAACATCTAATTATAAATATCAAAGTTGAGGTTAAAAAAAAAAAAATCCCCGTTTGTCTAGTTATTTGAAATTGGTTTTATGTTCTCACCGATTACCACCCTTCCATTTGTTGTAACTCTTTTTACAGGGTTTTTTTTGGCTTTGTTGCCACTCTGGTTTTCAGATCTAAATTTGATTCTATTGAAGACTATCATTTAATGCCAATTAACACATTGTTTCGTGCTAGACGATAATCATTGGTCAACTAAAGTTTGACTCTTTTTGTGTGGTAGAGATTGTAGCATCCAAGTTGTCAATAGAAGGTTTCCACAGTGTTCTATTTTTTATGTTTTGTTATATTTTATTGTGATTTGGTCATTATGTATTTTTCTCTCTGCTTTGAAGTTTATTTTCCTTCTCTTATCTAGAGGTTTTCACCCCCTCTTTGTGGGTTTTTCTCTCTCCTTTTCGAGAGTTCTACTATACTATGTTATACTTAATTGACCGATTTATGGTCGAATATGTAATAAAATTGGTCTATTGGCCATTTTATAAAATATAAAAAAATTGGGGTACTATTTAGATAAGTTAAAAAAACATTTGTAGACCCTACGAGACAAAGAAACCTCTATTAATGTATGTACACTGTAGAATGACATGTTTGCAGTGGAGAATTTAATGAAAAGCGACAACACAAAGCCATTTATGTTTCTGCCAACTCATGCTTTACATGACTTTGTACCACCACTTTCCATTGCTTTTATTTTGGAGATGTTGTGGATGATGATTGTTCCTCTTTCTTCATCAAAATATGAAAAACATTTGCAGAGAAAAATAATAGTTATTAATAATGGTCCCGTTTGGTGTAATTGTTAAAGCAGTTTATAGATTATAACTTAACAGATTATAGATTATGATTTTAATCAGAAGTTGTTAATCTGTTTGGTGTAACTGTTGGATTATAGATTTAAGTTGCTGAGTAGGGTTTGTTAAATAAACTGTGAAATAGCTTTTTCAATTATTTTTTATTTTTTATTTGTCTACATTTCTCATAAAAAATAATAATAATAATCTAGTCCATTTGAGTCTTTTTCTATTTTTAAAAAAAATAAAAAATAAAAAAATTTAAGAGTATAACTATAAATTAACATGCCCACAGCAGAAGCTGATAATTAGAAGTAAGGGGTGAGCAGCTTCTGAGAATCAGCTTTTTTGAGTTAAAATAAGCGTTAAAATAAGCTGTTAGAATCAGAAGCTGTTTGAAATAAGTTTAACCAAACAGTCCAAAATAACTTTTTCAAAGCTAAAAACCATAAGTTGACTCTGAAAAGCTGAAACAAACACCCCCAATAGCATCTGCAACTGAGTCAAAACACAATATTTATGATTCAACCAAGACATATATCAAAATACTAATATTGTGTTTAGTTGGAAAATTTGGAGAGACATTTGGAAAAAGAAAGGAAAAATGTGTGTGAAATTAAGTGAAATGTAAGTATATTTTATTCACATTTCACCTAACTTTTTTCTTTCCCTTTCCAAATCTCTCCTCAAATCTCCTAACCAAAAATAGCGTAAGAAAAATATTTAAGAGATCTAGAAAATGAGCTCTAATAATTTTAATGTGTGTGTGAATCCCATCTGATATGATATTTTGGGCTTTTTTTTATTTTATTTTTCACATGAGCTCTAATTTTAGAGGAATGAATTATTACTATAATAATAATAAACAGACTACAAGTTGTAATCTAAATACTACAAGTTATAATTTTCAAATTTTTTTTTTTTTTTTTTTTTTTTTTTACACAGACTTAAAAGTAGTATGACTTGATAGCATGAAAAATACATAGACTATGTTAAAGTTAAATTCAAATAATATGAATTTTACATGAATTTCATTTAATTGTTATATAAATACTAATCTCAATCTATTTAATTACACAAACACACACATGTTTTTTTACTTAAATTTTTTTAGTTTTATTGAACAGTTTTTTTTTTTTTTGGGAAAAAGATATAAGTAGTTCAACAACTATTTTCAACTCAGTCCAGTTGAACTCAAGTTCACCCAATAACTAATCCTTTTAGACACTTGAAATTAAGAATCAAAAAAATCTCTAATAACTCTTTCAATAATGACTCAAATTCAAAATTTTAAATTTTTATTTAACCTCCACAACTATGTTTAAAAAATCTGTACAAATAAAAAAAACAATAAAATTAAGTACTCCTACTGCTATATTTGGGGTAAAAAAAGATCCTATCATGATTTAATTGATCTGAATTAATGTTAAAATACTTGATATAATTAATTAAACAGATCGAATTAATATGATGAGAATTCAAATAGTATAAATTTTAGATGAATCTACGTAACACAATTTTCATTCTCATCAGGTGCATGGATTTGACATTACATAGAACTTATTCTTACTATTATGTTAAAAAGAAATTGGATTTTAAAACAGATATTGAATATTCTGATACCATCAATCAACCTGTCTTCCCTATATTAATGACTTCATTCATGACTCAACTCAATACTTTTTCACTATTCCCCAGTCTCTCTCTCTCTCTCTCTCTCTCTTCACACTTTTGAGAGCTAACTTTTGTGTGGTTTTCTTTTCTTGACCATCAAAGGTCAATCAATAGGCTTGTTTTTTCAAAACATCACTTTTTAATCTAAAAATTAAAAAAAATTTAAAAAAATTAAAAAGTCAATAAATAATAACAAAAAAATAAATATTCATTTTTTCTTTATTTTTATACATTTTTTTTATAAAAAATTAAAAAATATTTTAAACATACTAATTTTTTACATCATATTTTAGTAAAGAAATTACTTAAAAAGCTTGTTTCCAAGCGAGGCCTAAGTTAAAAGTTAATTTTTTTTGTTTTTGTAATTTTTTTTTTTTAAATGTATAAAAAGATAGATGTAATATGATTTAAAAAAATTACTTCTAACCGAATTGTCAAAACAAGCTATAAACAAGTCTCAATTCTCAAACACATCCTCTTCTCTCTTTTTGCAAATTTCGGATTGGTTCCATGATTTAAACGGATTGGATTGGTTCCAATTTTTTAGGAACCGTAAATAACGGATTGGTCCTGGTTTTATCCCAATTCGGTCCAATCCGGACCATGCTCACCCCTAGCATTTTGTAATTCTAAATCTTAGGTTGATGCGTGTTTTGCCTTAAAATGAGAAAAATATATTTAAAAAATTAAAAAATATGTAAAAAGTGTGAAATTTTATTTTATTTTTAACTTCAACTGACTCCTTGTTAGCAAAATGCCAAAAAAAAAAAATTGCAAATCTCATGGGCAAGAGCAATGTGAAAGTGTTTTAGTAGTAAATATTGGGTACAATCAAATGCCAACTTTTGACCCCCAAAAAAACATAGAAATATACTAGCCACAAGGACAACGTGAAGCAAGCATGTTGTGTGGTGCGAGGCTTCACTTTACATTATAGTAACTAGAAGGGTGACACGCATTATGCACGTGAATTATCTTATTCTTATTTTTTCTTTCTCTAACATATTCATTCTTAATCTTTGTCTTCTAATTTACTTTCGTGAATTATACTATTCTTATTTTTTCTTTCTCTAACATATTCATTCCTAATCTCTGTCTTACTAATTCACTTTTTACAATAATTTTTACTGCGTGCGCGCTACCTAGAGAATGTGGGCTTCTTTTAAATTAACTGAATTATTAAAATAATTAGCCTTTTAATTAATGGTAATTTTATATTTATCTTTATAATTAATAATTGGGCTACAAGACACCAAAAGTGGGATTCACATATGTTATTATAGATAGATAATGAAAGAAAAGTTTTCTTTTTTGTCAAATATAGGCGTTGTTTGGAAAGCACAGGTTAGGGCTATTATAGCCTGAAAATGAAAATTAGCCCAAAAACCTAACTGCAGCAGCGCAGCCTACACTGCCACCAACAGTGTAGGCTGCAGGTTTGTTAAATTACAATATTACCCCTATACATCAATTTTAGAAAAAATAAAGTCAAGGGTAAGTTTGTCATTTTAATTTAAACTATCATTTCAACACACTTTTCAATGCAACAACCCAACTAAAAATTCATCTCATCTTTCCAAATACAAAAACTAAAATAACTTGCTAAAATAACTAAAAAATCAAAAAACCTCTAAAATAGCCACTTTCCAAACGAGGCCAGAGTCCCACTCCGCCCCCTTTTGTTAAGCTCAACATTGATAGGTCCATTTAAGTCAATTCAGGAACAATAGGCATTTGAGGCATTTTTTGTGATCACTTTGTGACACTTCCTTGAAGCTTTTGCTTGCTCCATAAAGTTGACTACCCACATTGTTGGTGAACTTTTGGACTTCAAGAAAAGCGACTACTTTGCCCTATATATGTAGTGAAGTTGATTGATTCCTCACAAACTCTTTCACATGCAACATACAACTAAACTCTCAATTTTTTCAAGACTGTCTACGATTATTATCTAATTTCAGTAGTCTTAAGTTTTGTTTTGTGTATAAGGAGGCAAATCAGGCAACGTAGTTTTTGGCTAAAGAAGCTACTTCCTTACTTCTTGATTGTATTAGAAGAAGGCCCCTCCCAATTTATTACTTATACTTAGATCGAAATATTAGAGGCCCTTCTTTTTAGCGTTCTACTCTAAAGTTTCTTTTCGTTGATTTTAATAAAAATTTCTTTCTTTGTTCAAAAAAACAAATCAAGCTCTTTAAAATATATTTTCCCAACATATCACAATATATTTATATACACACTAGTAATTACATGACTAAATAAAATATATTCGAAAATTGCTTTAATTTTTTATGTCAACTATGATTTTACAAATAAATCAGCAAAGATTTATGAAATATTCTTATAACTTATATTTTGAAATATTAAATTTGTTACACTATGTTATCTGGTGCTAACAGTATATTGAATGGTCTGTTATAACTCTTGTCAAAATTAAAATTGTGCAAAAGTTTTTAAAATTTCATCTCTGTTGGTCTCTCAAAACTATTGCTAAATCATAGAATTATTAAATCTATTGCTATGGTGTTGTTCCATGTTGTAGGCCCAATTTAAGTATGGTTGTCAATTATTCAAGCCACATCTTAGGCATCCAGTAGGGCTATCAACCCTATCCAAAAAAACAGAAAACAAAAAAAGTAGGGCTATCAATTGTTCAAGGGCAGATAAGTAATAAATTGTTTAAATTTAACTTAAAATTTTAATATTATTTAGTCCTCGTTTGGCATGTAACAGTTTTAGTTTAAAAGCTAAAAAGTAATTAAAAAAATCAAAAAAACCTATAACATATACTAAAAAGTCAAAGATTTCTTTTTTTCTCTACTTTTTGCATATCTTTTCGTAAAAAAATCAAAAAGTCATTTTAAACATATTAGTTTTTATCTCATATTTTAGTCAAAATCAAAATATTACTAAAATAATATGTTCTTAAATAAGGCCTTAAATTGTGTCTAAATTTAACTAACTTATTTATTTTTAGTCAGTCGCAGATGAGTTTCAATCAAGCTGATCATAAACCGAACTTGAGTAAATTGATTTTTTATATTGCATATAACTTTGAACATAGTTTAGAAAATTAAGAAGTTTCAAAATTTATTCAAACTTAAATACAAGTCAAAGTCAAATAGCTCGGTTCCTTTTACAACCCACATTCAACTAATCTTGATTGTTGGAGGAGGATTAGTGAGTAGGAAAACAACAAAGATGCTTGAAAGGTAATAATAGTTGTTGCTGTGGTGTGGACAGTAATTGAATCAACATTAATAAAAGTTTCACTGGACTGATTTTTCCTCTTAGTAGACCCATTCAGTATCAAAGTGATAAGGCCGGCCCAAATGTGAGCCCAATTTTGCTCAAAATAAATTTTGTCAGTACTGGCCCACCCATATAACCCCAGTTGCTTTTTGACAATGGAAATATCAACAAGAAGATGACTCCTAATCACTCTTGGTATAAGAGAATTATTCAGTAATTTCAAAATACCATATAATATTGCTTACGGAGTGTACCGTTCTCTCAATTAATGAGGTAGTAGAAAATTTTACAGGTAAAACACTATTAATCAATTATTGTTAGGTAGTTACATGTTTTATAATTTTTTATTTATCAAAAGCATCATGGAAATGATATAACATGATATTTCGAGATTACTTAATATTTTTCTCTCAAAGTAGGAACTTTCTGATTCAACTTTTTGATCCTCTATTGTTAATCAGATCCTAAATATTTTCATATGTTTCTCAAATGAGGAAGACCAATTTATTGGGCCTAAAACAGCAAATGGTTATCACAGTGCTACGTAAAAGGTGAATTTTTTTTTTTTTTTTTTGAGAATGATAAACAAGTTTACTTTTTAGACTTATTTTCTAAACTTAATGATGTGTAAAACGTAAAAGGTGAATTTTTTTTTTTTTTTTTGAGAAAATGATAAACAAGTTTACTTTTTAGACTTATTTTCTAAACTTAATGATGTGTAAATGATATGATTGATTAATGATTAAAAAGATATGAGAGAAAATGTTACTTTAGATATCTTAATTGATTATCACATTATTGGGCTTGAAAATTAAATCTAATTTTTTAACTTATATAGCAATGCCCTTTGGAAGAGATAATTCACTTCTTTTTCCCTTCCAATAAATTTAGGAAAACACACACATAATTGATATGAATGTACAAAAATATGTTATTAAGCACAGACTATTTAATAATTTTTTAAGATTTTATGAAAAAATATGTAAAAAAAATAAAGAGTGATGTGACAATTTAGTTTTCGTTTGGCATTAGCTTTTTTAGTGGGTTTTTTGTGTTAGGACTTTTTTAGCCTCGTTTGGTTTGGTTTTTTTAACTTTTTTCGACTTTTGTGAGAGAAAAAATATAATGAATGTGGTTTGAATTTGATATTTTGAGTTATTTTGGGAAGTGAGTTAAAAGTCACTTCCCAGCTTTTAACCTACTTCCCTCTCACAAAAAAGCAAAAAAAAAGCCAAAAAACAATCTTTCCAAAACACTCATTTGTCTTATTGATTTATATAATCAATTTTATCTTTTTATATTTGTTTAGCCATAAATCAAATGCCAAATGAAACTTTATAATAAATTTTTAACTTTTTAATTAAAATATATTGTCCCCAAATGCCGCCCTTTCATATAATTTTATATATATTTCTATAATCTATTTATATGGAGAAATTATTCAATACTCCTGGATCACCATGTGTTCATATTCCAAGTCAATCACCAATTACTTAGTCCCATGTTATTCTCTCATCCCAACATAAATTGTCGGCCTTTACATCTCTCCACCAATTAAAACATTATGAGGCACCATATGTCCATTTAATCACCCATTTATTTGTACGCAATTGGATTGACCTCTTCAAATCAACTTATCAATAAAGTGCATAAGCAAATAGATGAATACAAATTCAAAGTTGATACGAGGCCCAACGGTGACTGCGAGCCGGTTTGATAAATAATTTTTTAATGTGTTTTTTGTTCTTATGTTTTAAGTGTATATTGATTTTATTTAAAAAAAAATTACTTTCAAGTCTTACTAGATTAGAGGATCCTAACTTTTTTTTCATAAAATAAAAAAAATTACTAAAAATATATATATTTTTTTTTAAAAGTTTATCCTTTTTTGGTCCCAGTATTTTTCTGATTCAATTTTTCCTTTAACTTGGAAGAAATTTTTTTAAGAAAATTGCAAATAAATGAGACAATCACAAAATAATTACACTATAAATGAAAATATTTTTTGGTGTAAGAGTTGCACCAAACACATAAATAAATTTACACTATGTATATAAGAGAGTTACACCATCGTAAAAATATAATTTTTTTTACCACTACTTTAAAAAAAATCTTAATATAAATTTTATAAAACTACTAAAGTAGAGGAAAAATGGGGTGAATTACTGACTAGTAGGCTAGGGAAAAAAATAAAAAAATTAATGATAAATTTTAAGGTAAATTGTTAATAAGTCTTAATCGTTTGACTTAATTTTCAGAAAGTCCAATTGAAAATAAATTCTAATAAAATCGTCGCTAATTTTTTTTTTTTTTTACATATGTTGCTAAAAATTGACAATTAATAATTTTTTTGTCATTATTTTTATAAATTGTTGCTAAAATTTATAATTAGTAGTATTTTTTTAAACTGTCGCTGAAAATTAAAAATTAAAATTTTTTTGTGACAATTCTTTTAAATTATCTCCAAAATTTATAATTAATGATATTTTTTATTATAAAAATTTTAAATCATCGCTAAAAATTAATAATTAATAATATCTTTTAATAATATTTAATGAAAAACGTAAATGTAACATAAGTCACCCAATACTCACTTTGGGTATGTTTGATTGGAAGAATTAAAGTATGGGATTGAGATTATTAATCCGTGGGCCCAATCATCCTATGTTTGTTTTGACACTTTGATTTAGGATTATTAATCCAATGGATAATTAATCCAACAAATTTGTAGGATTATTAGTAATGGGGTAGGGGTGGGATAGTTAATACCACACTAATTTGATAGGATTATTAATACCTCACTATTAGTGTTGTGAATCAAACATGACCTTTAATAATTAAAATATTAAACATAACTCCTCTCCAAATTAATTATTAATATTTAATTAATATAATTTTTTAATAACAATAATATACTCAACAAATGTCATACATTAAATATTTTGAATTATTTATATAGACGGAATCAAGACTCGCCAATGCCCGACACTCCTCTCCAGTTTGGCGAGCAGCCCCGTCCTAAAATGTACTTTTCTTATACGTTTGTAATTTATTTATTTTCACTGCACCAATGTACAGTTAAAAAAAAAAAAAAAAAAATAGTGATTTTTAACCTTTTTGCCAAGATGGTAAAGGAAGTTATGTGATAGGTGGTAATTGAAGAAGTAAGAGAAAAAAAAAAATATATGTAACTAATGAGAGAGAGAGAAGGGATCAAAATGAGTAGATGGAAAAGGGATGAATCATTGTTGTTTTGCCAAAGGGATGCCTAGCCACTAAACCCCCAACCCCAACAGAAGCAAAACCCTACAGACCACAATTCCAAGAATGTCGAAGTGGTGGGGGGCCGCCGGCAGCCTGAGGAAGACGGTGGAGGCAACGAGGAGATCATACCACACGATCCAAGCCATTCCCAGAGAGTACACTGGCCGCAAAGTCTCCGCCACAGACAGACTCCAAGGCCGAATCCCCGCCGTCGTGTTAGCCCAAGACAACGGCGGCCACACCACCACCACCACCAGCAGGTCGGCCTCCAGAAAACAACTCGTTACCACCGAGAGGAAGCAGATTCAGGCCATCCTCAACTCCGTTCAACTCCCCTTCTTCTGCTCCACCACTTTCCCTCTCCAGATCCGCGCTGGTTCTGGTTCCTCCACTCTCCTCGAATCCGGCACTGTTCTCCCCATCAAGGCCAGTATTATTCTTATTCCTTGATTTCGAATTCGTGATTTTGATTTTTTTTTTTCTAATTTTTTTTTTAATGCAGTATAGATTCATAGGGATGAGGAGAGTGGGAAGATTTTGAATTTGGTGTTTGTTTGGGCTGATGAGGGATCGGAGTTGAAGGTTGATGTGCCTGTTGTTTTCAAAGGAGAAGATGTTTGCCCTGGTCTCAAGAAAGGTTCGTGCTTTGGGAATGTCTAAGGTGATATTATCATTATTAAGTGTTTACGAGGCTCAATTTTAAGAGAGGAAAAAATAACCTCTTTAATATAGTGTTTAATTTGCCTTGGGAATGTCTAAGGTGATATCAGTTTAGTGGTTATACTTCAAATTGAAGACCAATAGCCACAGCTTTCTTCAAATGTGTCATACCAAAAGTAATGGTTTAACGTAGGTAGGACACTTCATCCTAAAGTGTTCATTGGGAAAAAAATGCCTTTAACAATTGAAAATGCACTTTGCCTGGTAAAGTCAACTACAACATGCTCTTCAAATGAGGTTTGTTAGGTTAAATAGTTAGTTATTTTTAGTTTTTATAGTTCCAACATGCTCTCCAAATGCCAAGCTAATTTACCTCCCTCATTTTTTTTCTCTCTACATTTAAAGACCTGTTGAAGGCTCTTCAAATCCTTAGGAACGCTCTCTCTTCTTTCCCTCAATCTCTAACAATGATGTGGCATGCCATTAAACACTATCAATCTTAAGTAGTTTGGATAGAGAGCTAGAAAGAGGGTAGTGCTGGAGTAATTACTTAGGTAGTGATTAGATAAAATAAAGATTGTACTTTTTTTTGTTTCATTTAGCTAGCAAAAAATGACTAGTACTGTTGGAGTTGCACTAATTGGTCAGCAGTTCTACTCAATTAGTTGCTTTTCAAAGTCTCGGTGTCAAGAATTCCATATGTGAAACTTTTAGTCCCGTTTCCAAACCTTAGGATCCATTTGGATGGATGTGGATTTAAGATTAAAAATGTTGAAGAGTTAGTTATTATAGGATCCTTGTAGCTAGAAGAGAATTCTTAGCATCATTTCAAATAACTACTTTTGTATGGTTATTTCAAATCCATGGATCTTTTAATTTAATATTGAAATTCATAGGTAAATTTTTTTGTTTTTTGTTTTTGTTTTTTTTTTTTGTTTTTGTAGTCTCTTTAATAATGTTATGCTGGATATTCTACTGGGCTCTATCCTAAAATCACGGAGAGAGTTATTTCTGATTCTTGAGGGATTTCCGATGGAATGAAAGAGATACCTGGTATGTTTCCGGCGAGGGAGGCGGATGGGCCGCGGTGAAGGATTCTTTTCCTTGGGAATTGTTCCTTTGAGTTCCAGGAGGAGCCCATCGTCTCTCAGGGCCATCGGTGTTTGGGGATTGTGGAGCGTGGATCCGAATTACGGCGTGAAGTGATTTTGGTTGGTTTCGAAGTAGCTTCGATCGTCAAGAAGTTAAGGGAGGCTTCTTATCCTATTAGGACTCCATCTTTTCTGGGACGGTTGGATAGGAAATGTCGGAGTGTGGCGGTCTGGATTCATGGAGAGAAGGATGGTGGTGTTTCGCTTCAGATTGTGGTTTCGTTGGAGGGGAAACATCACCAAGTTTACATACCTGCTTCGGAATTTGGGGATGGGTGGGAAGGCGTGGCTTTGGTCATTGAGGGTTTGCCAAGGGGAGGGCTGGGTTTTGATGCCAGGTGTCAGGAAAGGAGCTTCGATGGTACCCAGGGTTGTTTTTTCGAGGGCTAGAGAGTTGGCTCTTACGGGCGGTGGTTGTTAGTTGGTTCCGATGATGGCGGAGAAGGGGTGGTTCCATTGTTAAACAGGGCTCTGGTGGGTACTGTGGGCTAGGTGGGTTTTGCGGTTATGTCCCAGTGGGTGCTACGATGGTGGAAGATGACGGGGAGGGTCGACGTCTGTCCGGTGGAGGAGGTGGATTCAGTTTTGTATCTCTACTGTTCGGATGTCTGTTCTGGTTAATGGGACTTTGGTAGGTTTCTTTCCTACCTGGAGAGGTTTATGGCAGGGAAATCCTTTGTCTCCCCTATTGTTTATTCTGGTTATGGAGGCTTTGAGTCGTTTGCTTTCTAGGGCGGTCCAAGGGGGTTTATTATCATGCTTTGTGGTAGGGAAGGGGTCTGCCTCTTTGGTGGTCTCTCACTTATTCTATGCAGATGATGCATTGATTTTTTGTGATGCGAGGGTGACTCAGATTGGCATTTTGCGCTGTGTTTTGTTATGTTTTGAGGCAGTGTTAGGGCTGTGGGTCAATTTGACAAAATCGGAATTGACACCTGTGGGTGAGGTGGTTCGTTTACTAGTGTTGGCAGCTGTTCTGGGCTGTAAGGTGGCCCGGTTGCCAGTTTCTTATTTGAGGCTTTCCTTGGGGGCTTCTTTTAAGGAGACTCGAGTGTGGGATGGGGTGGTTGACAAAGTTCAGCGGAGGTTGGCCAGGTGGAAGCGTCAATACTTGTCCAAAGGGGGGCGGATTACTTTGCTTAAGAGTGTTCTTTCTAGTATTCCGACATACTTTGGGTATGTTTGGTTTGAGTTTGGGAGATGAGTTTTAGAGATAAAAAGTATGAAAAGTTGTTTGGTTTGGTTTTTTTCAAAAGATGTTTTGGAAAATTATTTTGAGAGAGAGTTTTGGAAAAAGTGATTGATTTGATGTGTATGAGAGAGAGATTTGTTTGGAAAACTTGTAAACCAAACAAGTTTTGGAAAATTTTTTTGAAAAAATTTGTTTGGTTTGATTACTTTTGAAAACTTATTTGTAGAGAATTTTTCCCAAAAATTTTTGGGAAACACAAACCAAACAAGGCCTTTATGTCTGTGCCTATAATTCCTATAGGGGTGGCAGTAAGGTTAGAGAAGCTGTAACGAGATTTCTATGGAGTGGGGGTGGGGAGGGTTTTTATTATCATTTGGTGGCTTGGGACAGGGTATGTAACTTGAAGGAGAGGGGGGGTTTGCAGGTGTGGAACTTGCTGGTGTTTAATCGGTCTTTATTGCGGAAGTGGTTGTGGCGCTTTGTGAGGGAGCGGGAGAGGCTATGGAGGAGGGTGGTGGCGGCTAAGTATGGGGAGGAGAGGGGGGGTTGGTGCTCCAAGAGGGTGTTTCATTCTCGTGGTTATGGTTTGTGGAAGGGGATCTGGTTGGGGGAGGGAGGTGTTTTGGGAGAGGGTTTGGTTTAAAGTGGGGACTGGAGATCGAGTTCGCTTTTGGCAAGATTGGTGGTGTGGGAGTGTCACTATGGTGGCGATTCCTTTGATTTTTGCTATTGCTGCTGATGGAGAAGAGTTGGTTGCTTCGGTTAGGATGAAACAAGGGGAAGTAGTGGTTTGGAATGTTCGTCTTCGCCGTGATGTACAAGATTGGGAGCTAAACCAATTGGTGGATCTTCTTGGTTTTTTTTATGGCTTGCGGCTTAGGAGGGATGGGTTAGATTCTTAAGTAAGGGTTGTCCAGGGCTCTAGGGGTGTTTTCTCAGTGTCATCTTTTTATGGGGCACTTGCTGGGGGGGTTGGTGGTGTGTTTCCCTATAAGTGTATTTAGGCAACTAGTTATCCTTCCAAGGTTGTTTTCTTTGTTTGGATAGCTGCTTTGGGTCATATTCTCACCATTGATAATTTGATTCGGCGGCGGCGGCATGTGTTGGTCAATTGGTATTGTATGTGCTGTATGGACGCGGAAACGGTGGATCATCTGCTTCTTCATTGCTCGGTCGCGTCCAGCCTTTGGACTTTTCTTGTTGCTTTGTTTGGTGTAGTGTGGGTGCAATCGGGGTCTTTATTGGGAGTGATTCAGAGTTGGGGTGGTACTAGGGTGGGAAAGCGGCGCCAGAAGGCTTGGGATCTTACTTCCCATTGTTTGCTTTGGCTGGTATGGTTAGAACGGAATAGAAATGTGTTTAGGAATGAGTGCCATTCTGTTTTCTGGCTACAGAGTCGGTTTTGATGGTGTTCCATAGTTGGGTAACGTGTACAGTCGACCCCAATGTTTTGGTCTTTGTAGATTTTGTAGAGGATTTGATTAGTTAGTTTTGTTTAGTCCTGTGGTGGGTTGTTTTTTTGTATTCTTTGCGTCGCCTTGATACTTTCTAATAAAGTTTGCTTATTTATCCAAAAAAAAAAAGGTTGAACCTTTAATCCTGAATTTGAGTTATTCTCCTTGAGTAATTAATGTCAAATCAAATCCATGCATTTCAAATTCACTTCATCCAAACAAATCCTTGGTGCTACAATGATGATGATTTCTAGTGTTGTTTCTTTCATGTTGATCAGCAGGTGATTATATAAAATATTTTTGTTTATTCCAACCTTGTTATAGTTGCTCCATAAGTATAAATGCATTTTTGTGCCCATCATATTGGCTAGTTAGTATGCAGTTTGTCCACTTTAGCTTTTGGAAGCTTTGTGCTATACCTAAATGCAGCTTCCTTATTTGTTCTAGATGGCAAGTGTGTGGAACTGGGGTGGTGAGCTATTGTTTTAACTGTTGAGCTTTATGTATCTTCATGTTTTTTGCTCATAGTTGGTTCTGCTGATATTTGACTTTGTAAACTGCAACTGTGATTGGATAAATTTGGATCTCCAGCAGACTTACCCAGTGGGCATTGTTTGTGGGTTATTGCATACATCTATAGGAATTTTCCTTTGCTCAAAATGGATCTGAAACACTTGTAACCCTTCCACCCCACCCCCTCATTTAAGTAAAAAAAAAAAAAACTGCAAGTGGAACATTTTTTGTGTGGTTTTGGTTGTCCTTTTCTTCTTATAAGATAGCAAGTCTTCACAGAGATTGCTTGAAGTTTGTTTCCTGTGCTTCTCTGAAGATAGAATCTAATGACTTCTCTAACTATAGAATCTAATGAGGTTAACTCTAGATTAAAAGTTATACTTAGGCATATCATATCTAGGGTAGAGAGCATTGGTGTTCTATTTACTAAGACCATAATTGTCAAGTCTGGAAATTGTCTGGTCTGTGCTTTTAGTTTTGCTTGTTTGTGATTATATTTCTCATTTCTTTGACTATTACTTTTTACTTTTTTATTTTTTTAGCCCCAAGGAGTTGGCTTGGTGGCAAGGGTTTGGGTCTTGGAGGTGTGCTCCCTCAAAGGTTCAAGAATCGAAACCTCTTTGGTGCTAACAATTCCTTAAAACCATCGGACCAAGAAAAAACCATTGAATTGACTGTGATGCACTTGTGGGAAATTCATTGACGAGAGCTTGTGCAACCCTAGGGATTAGTCGGGCTTTGATCCAAACACTCCGGTGCCAATCAAATTTTAAATTTTTTTTTTTTAGGGTAATAATATTTTTTTGATATTGATGAAACATAATGGAGAAATTGGAACTTGGATCTAGTTAATACATGCTAGTATACGGGTCTTGAGGCAATCAATATTGTAGAAATTATGAGGGTCTGTCAGGATTCCATCGAAAAATGATATCACTCCATAACTTTTAATTACTTTTTTGTTCACGCAGAGTCCAGATGCACTGGTCTTGTGCGTTTGGGTTAGCTTATTTGTTGTGATGCTGTTGTCAGCATTAATGTTAGAGACAGATGTGGGTTTCTATCATCCATGGTATCATATCATATTGCCCCTTGGCATAATTTAGCGGAGTAGACTTAAGGTGCATGGAGGTTCCCTTTTAAACAAATGTTATGGGCGGTACCTTTCCCTAATACAAACTCATGATGTATTGAATTTATTATTTTTTATTGCTGATCAAATATTCTTCAATTTATGGATACTGATTCTTGTTTTTTATGCAAAATAGGAGGTACTTTAAATAGGATAAGGACAACTTTAAAATATCTATGCCCAGCTGAACACATCCCCCCCAAAATTGAGGTGGACATAAGCAATCTAGACATTGAAGATAAGGTGTTCATGCACGATATTGAGGTTCACCCATCGTTGAAGCTTCTCAGTAAAGATGAGAGTATTCCCATATGCAAAGTTGTGGCAACGACATTGGAAAACTCTGAACCTGCACTGTAGGCACCGGAGCAGCACGATGCAAGGAATTTGCAGTTTTCACTAGCCCAAATCAAGAATTTTCAGATAATGAAATTTGCTTAGCTGTTGTAGTGCTTTTGGATGGCCAGTGAAAATGATTATGACTTTTGTTCACACCATAATCAAATGCAGGTTAGGTTTTTTACCTTTTTTTGTTTTTTTGGACGGCTGGATCATTTTTGCTGTTATAATAAACATGTAGGGTGGTGTGAATTATTGTGAAATGTTATTGAACAATTTTAATGAGATGACTATTGTTAGCTTGTGTGGTGTTTTTGCAATTACTGGATTAACTTTGCAATCTGAAAATTAGGCTGATGTTCACTTGTCAGATTTGGACAAGAGCCAGCTTGCGTGATGTCACTTTGTGCCTCCACATACTTTTTGGTCAGCATCTTTTCTCTTTTTTGCCTTTTGCCTTCCCCACCTGCCCTGCTCTACCTGCCCTGCTGTAACAGAAAAGGCCTGGTTTGGATAGAATGTTGAATAATTTTTAATGTTGATTTTTATTTATTTGGGGCAGGCATGCAAACAAACCAACTTCCTCTGTGTTGGAATCATGTTCAGTTGTACTTATTTGAGATTGGTTCAAAATGTTTGTTAGGTTTTTAAATTGAGTTTAAAGAATCCACTGTTTAACTCAGTTTGACAGCTCTAATTTGGGGAAGGTGGAATGTGTGAGAATTAGGATTGAATGAAGTCAAGTCAAGGGCAGAGCATGAACCAAATGGTATAAATGTTTATCATATGGCCAAGTGGAAGTTTGTGGAGGTCTATGCCAAAGGACACACTAATGTTGACATAGGTTCTCTTACTATATTGTATTACTGACACATTCGTGATCTTGACTGGGATGAGTTGCCCCAAACTAGTTTTGTTTACTGGAGCAATCACACTACAAACCTAGAATTTAAAATAATTATTTACCTTTTTAAGAGAATAATTATTTTATAAAAGAACAAAGAATAACCATTCTATTATGTTTTACTTTTATTTTAATAAATCAAACTCTACATCCCAGTAAGGGAAAATCTAAGTATTAGAACTGGATACCAAGAAATTGATCCAGAAAATAAATAGAGGATTGATATATTCAAATGGTGTATTATGAGTTCAAATTTTATTTCATCTTCATTTAAGGAATCAAACACTTTTTATTTAGGTAAATTACAAATACACTCCTTAAAGTTTGCTTAAAATATAGATTGACTCTTGTGGTTTTGGAAATTACAAATATTTTTTTGTTAGAATTTTTTATTTTATAGGATTAACAGAAAAAATAAAATTCTTAACTATTTTCCTATATAATAATAAAATTATTTGAATTATTAATTAAAATATATTTCTAACATCATTAAAAATTATTAATTGACTTAATAATTTATTAATAAAATTGTCATTTATTATGCGATTAGAAACTTTAAGAGATGAAATGTAATTTTCAAAACTATTGAAGACAATTTATATTTTAAACAAATTTTTAAAAGTATATTTGTTTATAATTTAACCTTTATTTTAGTTTTAATTTTTAATTTTAATTTGTAACATTTCTTCGATTGCAGCCATCCATGAAGCATAAAGTTAGGCACCAAAGCACAGATGAAACCAAATCAAATTTTGTTCACTTAACAATGTGTGAACAAAATAAATTTTGCGGTTGATTTAAATAATAAATTAATTTAAAAAAAATTATTTTAATTTTTTTTGTGAAAAAAGAGTTCATTACACCTTTTAATATATAATTCAAAATTATATTTGAATGATAAGAATCTTGAAAGGGAATAAGAATGTTGTTACTAAAAACAAAATTATTACGTTAATGTTATTTTTCGTTTTTTTAGTCAATTGATAGGAGAATAATTGCAAATATGAGATGTATGATGTCAAACTGAACAATTAAAATTCAACAATAATTAGAAAGTCGACAATTATCAATTCTAACAACCCTAGCTTAAATTAGGGAAATAATAAACAACTACATACAACTCTCATAATGCGAGACAAATAAACACCACCAAGAATATCAAAGTCTTCCTTATTATAAGTGTTAAGCTCGCAACCTCAAACTATAAAACATTTATACATGATGATTAGGTCAAAAACTTTAATTCAATGTTATTCAAGACTTTGATTTCATTAGAAATCTTCAATGAAAAAAACGAAATTTCTTAAAATATTATGAGTTCAATTATTATTATTATTATTATTATTATTATTTATTTTTAAATAGCAAATATTCTTCTAAAATATTATTATTTGATAATTCGCTATTTTAATTAACTATTTACGAAAAGATATGTAGACAAATAAAGATAGTAATATAATAACTTATAATGACTTTTTAACTAAAAATCACACTCCCAAAATGGGGTACAGCCAAAATCACATTTTCATATCCCTTGAAATTTTTGTAATCCAAAACTAGCATAAGTTTGAACAAAAAAATTTCCATGAAAGCCAACATACAATTCCCTCTCTCCACAATTTTGTTTTGTTTTGTTTTGTTTTGTGGAGAGCACAAAATGAGTTGTGGACTTCGCCTCTTGTGGACTTCTCAAATGTGGACTTTCTCACATTTCAGTCGTCCTTTTAAGCCGAAAAATTGACTTGTATTGTTTGATTAACGTGGCAAGCACAGGCCGACATGTTTTCATCTTCTTCTTTTTCTTTTTCTTTTTCTTTTTCTTTTTCTTTTTTCTCTAAAACAACTTTTGAGAATTTTTTTTATTATTTTTCATACTTTTTTTGTTTTTACTGATTTTTTTAATATTTTAAGTGATTTTTTTAATTTTTAGACACATCTAATATAAATACACATAAAAAGTATATTTTTTGTGAAATTTTTTTTAAAAAAATTCACTAAATACCAAAAATACAAAAAAAAAGAAGAGAATTTAGTATATTTGTCGTATTTTTATGTATTTATTAATTTTTTAAAATATTTTTTCACAAATTTTTTATTTTTTAGATATATTTAAGTAAGGTGCATCTAAAAAAGTAAAAAAAAATACTTAAAATTTTAAAAATATTCACTAAACAAAAAAAAACATGAAAAATAAAAAACTCAGCTTTCAGAAAATTAAATTCAAAAAACTCAAACCAAACACATGTATTAATTTTTTTAACTTATTTAAATTATTTTTATTTAACAAGTTATTAACAAAAATTACACCAAATAATTTAACTTAAATTCTCAAAATTAAATAAGCTATAAACAACTTAGATTAATTATACCAAACAACCCTTTGCCATGTCTACCAACTTCAAGTTTATTTTCTCAAGTAAAACTACACTTATCATATTATTAACAACAATATTGTGTACTCAGAAAAATTACTAAAAAATATAAATAAATAGACTATTTATTGTGAGTGTGACCCACCGCCCAATAACTTATTCAACTCCCACTAACTTTAAATTTACACTACGAAATCATCTTCAAGGTAAATTTCACATTAAATTTTCGTGGTCCTTAAAATAATACTATATGTACTAATTAATGTATTAATTAATATCAATTAATGTATGAATAATGTTATATGTATCAATTAATATACTACCTAATATACTAACAAACGATGTGGCATAATTTTAGAGGTTTTGGATATTTATAATAGGGAATGGCTTCTGTCCAGTCCTTAATCGGACTGGACCGTACTGTTGGGCTCATGAGGGCCCACCAGGGGTCCCGTTTTGATAATCTGAACCGTTTAATGTGTAGAACTCATCGAGTACTATGTGCCTATAAAAAATCAGGTTGATTGGATATCTATAGCTATGTGATCAAAACAGATTTTTGTCAATCGTTAATTTATTCAACATCCATTTTTTTTTACAAAACTGATTTGATCACATAGCAATCAATATCTGATTAACGTGATTTTTTATAAGTATATAGTACGCAACGAGTTCTACACATTGACTGTTCAGATTATCAAAACGGGACCCGTAGTGGACTCCCACGGGCCCAATAGCACAGTCCAGTCCGATTAAGGACCGGACAGAAGCCATGCCCTTTATAATAAATAGAGTCAATAATAATTACATAATAGTAATTAGTATATTAGTGTGTACATTAATTGATATATGCATGTAGCACCACCCTTTTTGTATTATTAAATGAGCCATGCTAATAACATTGTATTGTTAAAGAAAAATGCTTGGGAGCACTAATTAGTGCTCCCACTAATTAGGTGGCAGTGGGTCCCGCCATTAATGATGTGATATTTTGGTCTTGGAGTTGTATTTTTTATTTTTTATTTTTACTTTTTTAATGCATTAGTGCTATTAGTGGTGATATTTTTAGTGGGATGAATCATTGTTGATTATTAAATAGGTCATGCTAATACTAACTCTACCGGCGGTGGTGTTACATGCACAAATTAGTATACTAACTAGTGTACCAATACTAATTATGATATTATTATTGACCCCACTCATTAATCACATTACAAATTTTGAAAACTTTTTAAATTATATTACATCATCAATTAGTACACTAATTAATATATCAATTAATATATATAACATTATCCCTCTACCCGTTGTCAATAATAAACACATAAACCCTAAATATTTGTATTCTCAATATATTTTTTACATCTCCAAATTTTTTTATATATTTTAATACAGCTTTTATACGTTCCCAATGCTATCAACCGCCCTAAAGGCTGTTTTTAAGGGTTTTTTTTTTTTAACAATCCTGCTGCATACCCCAGTGGGGGTCGCACCCCCAGTGAGGTGTCGCGTCCCCACTGGCCGAAACCCAAAAAATAAAAAAAAAAAAAAAAAAAAAAATTTTTTTTGTCCAATTATGGACTGCCACCTCACTGGGGGTCGACCCCAGTGTGTGTATGAGCCATTTTCCTTTTTTTAATTAAATAAGAGTCTCCCCTTAAAATTTGGAGGGAAAAAGATATACGAAGCCTATAAATTTGGTATAATTATATAAAATTATCTTAAAATGGAAAGATTATATAAAATTATCTTAAAATTTTGATTCATCACAATCTTTTCGTAATTCGTATGAATATATATTTTTTCTATATCATAGTTCAGATATGTCAGTGGCCGATGACGTGGAGTTAGGTTTCAAAATCGAGTCCAGATCCCCTCCTTGAGCCCCTCCTTCATTCCCTCCTTGCAGGGGCTTTCGGGTCCACTTTGAGGCCCAATTTTGATAATCCGAACCGTTCAGATTTTAGATTTATTCAGTATATTATACCTGTAAAAAATCAAGTTGATCGAATATCAGAAAGTATGCGT